TTTCCTTACTACTCCTCTGTAACACCGGATTGTTTCAAGTATAAAGGCGGATTCTATTTCTTTCCGCACTCACACCCCACACAATTCGTGTCTCACTCCTACACTCAGTAAGACATAAACAATAATAGCTGTACAAAAGAAAATGATGGACATAAGTGAATGATAAATTTAGATGCTCCCGTCCCATTCTCACACTCATATCACCAATCACTCAATTCATATGCTCCATACAACTAATTACATGTATCTCATATTTTCTTCCCTCCATCCTCCACCAAAGTTTCGAAAGAATACAACTTCAAACTTCTTGATTTTACTTTTCAATTCCATCAATACATACATGTCACCTTTTAACCCTAATTTTCATTCATAATTTATAGTTTTATTGTGTTTATCATACTACTTGTGGAGTTGTGGTTAGGTTATGACATGTGATATTTGTTCAATATTTGAGCTCTGCAACCATCCCTGTTATCAACTTAATTGAATTAAGTTTGAATTGAAATTTAATATTATCTGCTGGCCAGAAAATTTTTCACAGATATTTGAAAATCGCGGGAATAAGGATGGGAATGAAAAAGTCTCATCCACACGGAGATGAGAAGGGTATGAATTTAAAAATAAAATATAAGGATGGGGACGATGATGAATTTACGACAATACATACTAAACCGACCCATTATCATCCTAACATCCTGGTATTTCTGAATTTAATAGCAAAGTCGGGATAATGCGTAATGGAATCTCTAATAAACCCAGCTGATGATCATAACCTCAACAAAAAATTCATTCAAGGTTCTACGTGTGTCTTCCCCGCTCGTCAAGTGATCAAAAGCATCCCCAATGATCTGATTTTATGAGGTAACAAAGCAAAAGTGAGTCAAAGATATAACACCAATCACAACAAACCCATTACGTCTCCAACCAATCAACGCATGCTAACAGTTGCCACCTCAACATCCATGTCCAACATCTACAAATCATGAATGGGAAATTAGCCAAAATGGTACCTTTTGATACTCAACTGTAACTAAAATGATGTCATAACTTTAAAACGGTTATAAAATGATCCCATAAAGAAATAACCTAATCATCACCCAGGTGATTTTGGAACTCGTTATTCTCTTCTTTTTTATGTGTGAGCTAATCCTAAACCCTTAAATTCGAAGAAAACTTGCCCGCATGCTCCAATTTACATATTTCTCTTATGGCATCTTCCTCTTCAGTCTTCACTCGCAAGTGGTGGTAACGATAAAACAATAAGAAGTGATAGTGATACTCTATGGGTTAATTGCATGATTCGTCACTGAAATTACAAAAAAAACATTCATATCTTGTCACTGAAAATATTTAAATCCAATCTTGATCACTCAAATTAGTTAAATAGTTCAAGTTTGGTCACTCTTCGTTAAATCTAACTTACGCGGCAGTCAAACTTTCATGGTTGACCGTTAAATATGTGACGTGGTAATTAAAAAATTATTAAAAATAAAAAAATAAACTTTTATATTTTCCACCTCATTATTACATTCATTAAAAAATAAAAAAAATAAAAAACCTAATTTCTTTTCTACACACCCCAAAACCTAATTTCTGCAAGCCCTGGCACGCCGTCTTCGCCAACTCGTCGCTCCACTCCGCCTTCGACCTCGACACCTACTTCGATTCCGGGCCGGCGTTCCCTCTCTAGTGGTCTCCGAAGTTCGAGAGGCGGATCGATTCCATGCTCCGCTCTGCCATCGCTTGGAGCGACGGAACCCTCTCCGAGATCCGCTCCCGTCACTACTCCGACCGAATCTCGCTGCCGAGAGGTAACGAAAGACGGTTTCTTTAAACCCTAGAAAAATGAATTTTCAATCGAATTTATTAGATGATGATTTAGAGAAACGATTGGGATTGAATTGAATTGATTTTTTCCCCAGGTTCCCTAAGCTTCAATCTTCTTCCTAGCGTCACGGGAATGTGCCAAACGAGTACCTCATGGCAGACATGGCTTGCCCTCTTGAAGCAGATTCGGAAACCGCAACAATTGGGAAGTTCATGACAGGGTTGAAGCACTTAGAGCTTCGATTCTCGAGGTTAACAGCCAAAGGGATCGAATCGATCAGCGAAGGGTGCTTGAATTTGGAGTTCCTAGATTTATCAGGGTGTGTTAATGTCAGGGGGACCCTGCGAGCTTGACTTTGAGCAGGTTGAGAAGTCGAATTCTGCATTTGCATGTCGTTGACCGGGCATTCAAAGGGGTATGGGCATTGAGATTTGTTTGATGAGAGGTTTCAGACTGATGCATCTGCATCTGTATGATGATTCTGGTGTAAAGGCTGCCTGCTTTATGAACTCTCTTCAGTTTTTTTGAACTTGCTCGGTTTCGCTGCTAGTTCTGGTTTTCGGGTACCTACAATCGTGAGTGATTTTCGTTTCGTATATCTGGTGATGGTGAGGTTGGGTCGGTTAGGGATTTGCGGTGTGTAGAAAAGAAATTAGGTTTTTTTATTTTTTTATTTTTTAATGAATGTAATAATGAGGTGGAAAATATAAATTTTTTTTATTTTTAATAATTTTTTAACTGCCACGTCACATATTTAACCGTCAACTATGAAAGTTGACTACCACGTAAGCTATAGTTAACGGAGAGTGACCAAACTTGAACCATTTAACTAATTTGAGTGATCAAGATTGGATTTAAATATTTCCAGTGACCAAACATGAACGTTTTTTGTAATTTCAGTGACCAATCATGCAATTAACCCGATACTCTATCATACTTGGATGTGCCAACATTTTTTTGTTGTTGTTGTTGTAATGCATGGTCGTTATGTATTTATATAAAACTAAGGATTATCTTTCCTTATGTATTTAGACCTTATACAAAATGGCCACTTTAAGGTTTTTACCACCCTAACATATTGGTCATACAAGTGAAACATTCTCGACTTTTCATGTGCATCGCACCACTCAACTGAAATAACCACACATTCATCATGGAAGCATAAAATCGACATTCTTAGTTACTCCTTTCATATACCCCAAACCAGATTAACCACCAATTCAGAGGAATCCAGTGAACCATCTCTATTATACCTCAATGACATACCACAAAACGCAATTGAAGAAGCACCCACCGACCTTGTTTTTCGGCGAGAAAACTTGCGTTAAAATCGAATTGAATACACATTGACTTCTTTGTACAATAATTAACTTAACACACTTTACATCTCTTCAAATAAAGTTCGAACTAGGGTGTTCAATGTTTACACGACTCAAAAGACAGAAACTATACATTAAAGTACCCTACTCCTATGGAGGTTTTGATCTACGACTATGACTAAAAGTTGCTGAGGAAATATAAAATTGATAAAAAATTGACGAGTATTGATATTTGTGAACCATTTCTCTGTCAACTCCTCCTATTTATAGCCTTAGGGTGGTAACCGTCGTAGAAAAATCGGTTAGAGAGTAACTTCCAAAAAGAATTGCTTCCCTTTCCCCCAGATGTGGCTGGCGTGTCCTTGAACGTGGAATAATCACCAGTTACTCCGTTAACTGTCCAGGTGCTTCTCTCTTTTGGAACTGAAGTTTTGGTGTTTGCATCCTCTCCACCATGACCATTCTCGCGACCAACGAGGTCTATCAAACTCCATGCGATAATGCCCACTCGCGACCACCGTAATCTGATCTCTTCCTCGCGACCACCAAGGTATAACCCACTCGAGACCAGAGATGTCTAGATCTCACAACCAACGCAGGACTTAACTCCCTCGTGACCAACGTGCTCTAGCTCTCAAACTTAGTATATTTCGTGGCTTCCCTCTCCCCATGTAGCTTTCCTTCTCACGTCCAAGTTCGTTGGTTTAGACCTCGTGGCCTAGATCTCACGATCAACACGATCTAGCAGACTCGCGGCGAACGTAACTCGCGATGAAGGCGTCTAGCAGACTCGCGACGAATGTGGTCTACCCGACTTAGTCTATTTCCAAGCGACAATGTCAAATTCTAAAAATTCAATTTTAGACTAGTGGCCATTTTGGTCGATTAGAGAAAAACAAGCGTCAATTTCCCCCCCCCCCCCCCCCCCCCCCCCAAAAAAAATAGTTCTTAGAAATAGTATTATTGTCTTGTTATATTTATAGAAAATATTTTTCCTTTCTTTCATTTATTTGTTTAGTATATTTATAGGATTCCAATTAAACAAGTAATAATCCCCACTCTTGATCTTGAACCTTCTGGCTCCTGGGTCCTGCCGACCCGACGCTCCATTCCGTATGTCATTTCAAATGATCTCTTGTCCCTTAATTTGTCATCCCTGAATTTCCTGCTTATATCGTTAACTTCAGTTTAGATGACGAACGAAACGACCATCATTTCCCATTTATCAAAACAAACAGAATATATGTACTAGGTCCTCTCCTCAACTTTTACTTAATTATATCCTCATCCACTACGTAATAAATTAATTATCGTTGCTTCCTGGTGACGACTTTCCCTTCGAATGACGAAATTGCCCCCCTTCTTTTCTCCACCTTAGTTGCCCGAGCAGTGCGTCTATCTCCGTCAAACGAGGAAAAAGAAGTCATTTTCCCGTTTATAATTAATGAAAATCATTTATATTTTGAATTTGATTCTCATTTATGTTTTTTGGTTTGGCGTGAAAGTGAAGTCTCTTTCTCTCTCTCTCCCTCTCCCTCTCCCTCTCCCTCGCTTTCTCTCTCTTGCCGTTTCTTTCACAAGTCTATGCCCGCTCAGCGCTCCCTCCCTCCCTCCCTTTGTAGTTTCCGTTCGTTGATTCCCACTCTCTTTCTCTTTCTATCCGCAAGGAGTTTTGCGAGTTCCTTCATTCGGCTGTCAGACTTTGTCTTTCACGGCCATTCCGTGGAAATCGAGCTGAAAGCTCTGTCTGTGGGGAAACAGATAGTTTTGGAGAAGGGAATTTAGGGGGGAGGACGGAGGGGGTTCTTTCTTTCTTTCTTCTGCTCACTCGCCGGCGGCAGGAGGTGGGGGAGATGTTGGTTGAGAGGAGAGTGATAATGAGCTGGCGGAGAGTTGGGAAGTCTCTGCAAGCCCTTGTAGCCCATGCCCTTCTCTTCACTTTCACACTTTCCCTTGCTCTCAAGTTGCAGCTCTCCGTTTCTTACTCATGGTGGTAAGTTCTCCTTCCTTTCACTTCACTTACTCGGCTTCCGTGAGAATGGTTGTTTGGAAGTACAGTAGAAATTCGGGGCTTCTTTTCCTGTTTTATCTCTTCCCCTGTTTTGCTGCTATTATCATTTTTTTGGGGAATTTGGAGTGATTTGGACATGAATTCGAGGTTTTTTTAATTTGTTGTATAAGATTTCGTATTGCGGTTGTTGCATGTATTTGGATGGACTGAAACCTTTCCTTTTCCAGCTTTCCTCAAGTGGTCCAGTTTTTTTCAGATGCTCTCATTTGCTGTTTCTTCTCTTTTGGGGTCTGGTAGTTTGCAGGACCCAATTGGGGGAAGAGAATTTCTCTAAGCTCCCCTTAGTACTAGCTCCCTTCATAGTTTGGATTTCTGGTGCCTCTCGTATTTCAGATTTTCCGTTGGACAGGGTGTTTGGTCCTACCATTTTGCTTTCCTCAGAATATGATTTTTGCCCCACAAGGCTGGGCGATATATGGATGATTTTGTTTTTCGATTCAGACTTATGGTTTGCCTCTTTGTGTCTAATCGAGGGTCATACAGTCTTCGCTTTCTTAATCATAAAGCATGCCAATAAATCCCTACTAAACACAGATTCCAAGCAACCTTTGCTTTGTCTTAGGATTTCTTTGTTTTGATGGGAATATTTTGGCTTTATGGATGTGTGCCCCGCCCCCCCCCTGCCCTTTATTCTCGAGGGATTGATCAGACTGTGATGCACATGAGTGTGTTTTGATGTGAAGGGGCTTACCTCTTTATACACCTAAATTGTAATAGGGGTTTTGTGATGAACCAGAAAGCAAAAGTGAAGAAAGTAAACTAATTTGAATTTGTAGATAAGGAACTGTAGCATCACTTACCTGCCCCACAAAATATTAATGCAATATCTTGAAGCTGAGGAGGACCCGGTTAAACTTAGAATGAGGTTTCCCTTCCAGAATTCATATTGTAATCTAGTCGTCTAGCAGTTGGGCAGCTAGTTTTTAATGTTTTGCACTCCATCTTTTAGATAACTTCTGGGTTTACACTGACTTGCAATCTTGCATTTGTCTGTTACTTATATGCCACCTTTGTATATGACTCTGTTCTTCATTGATCTCGGTGTGCTGACGCCATTAGTAGTCAGTGATGAACTGATTCGGCTGTTTTATATAAGTGGTTGATGATGTTGGTATTGTCTTGCTTGTGATGTGATTGACTAGAAGTTGATGCCTACTGAATTCTTATTGATGAATAGTAGCTAACTGAAGTACTTGGAGTAAGTAGTTGTCCTTTCCTTAATTGTTTGATGGTGTGTATGGGAAGTAAATTTAGCGATTCATGAAATGGCTGGTTGTGATTGAAAGAAGGGAGGCAAGAGATGTAGAAGGAATAGAGAGGGAATTTTTTTTTATCGTTTTATAAATCTAAAAATGGGGTTAGTAGGTTGATGAGATTTGTTCATGATGTAATGGCTGATAAGAAAGCAGTCCTGAAGCTTTAATTAATGCTTGTAATGACTTCAGATGCATGTGACTGTTTAGGGGTTAGGAAATTGACAACAGGTACTAACTACTAATTAAGCACATCAGTCTCAGAAAAGCTATACTAAATTATGGCCATCAAAGCTTGCTGTGTCTTTGTCTTTATGGCATGAATAGAAGAAATATAATGTCCCCAGTTGACGGTTTGCTCTTGTAACCGTCTTCTAGTTGATGTAATTCTACAAAGTCTTTATGTTAATCATTTGGTAGCAGTAGCATCCTGTTTGTTTATTTTGCATAGGCTATTATTTCGATCTATTTCATTGTTTTTTATTGCTTGTACATCAAGGTTGGTTTTGTGTTCTGTGTTTTTATGATATAAATGGAAGGTACTTTTCGCATTACTGAGTAATATCTTGCTTGTCTTCTTTCACGTAGGGTTATTTTTGCACCTTTGTGGCTATTTCATGCAGTCATAGCTCGTGGCCGGTTTTCTTTACCGGCTCCATTAATGCCTCATGATCGCCACGTACGTATGCTAATGCTATGGAATGTTTCTTTTTTATTCCATCTTGCTTATTTGAGGTTTCTCTTTTTATTCTACATCTAAATTTTTTTCTATTATAAAAAACCTTATTTTAATTCTGTGTTTATCATGGGCAGTGGGCACCAACACATGCTATATTGGCAACGCCGTTGCTTCTTGCTTTTGAACTTCTCCTTTGCATACACCTGGAAGGAAGTTATGGTAAGTGTGATAGTATGTACAATACAATCTCATAGCTTTGTTCTACAATTCTTGTCTCTCTGCATGATTTTGGTTTTTTCATGATTCATTCCTTTAATTGTCCCTGGTATATGGAAGTTATTTAAGCTTGTCATTTATTTTCTTTAGCAATTTTGACCCAAAATTGTACATAGACATCTGTTGTTGTCTACATATCCTAACTTTTTGACTTCCTAACTTTATTGCATTTCTGAACAATGCAGTTGTAGACTTGAAGATTGTGTTCATGCCATTGATAGCATTTGAAATGGCAATTCTGATTGATAATATCAGGTACCTTCTCAAATGCCCTTATTTCCCCCCGACTGGTAGGTCATGCTGGTAGATGCATGTACATAAACATCAATGTCAAACCACTTGGTGTTAGGGCAGCAGATAGCCACCCTAACTGGCACCAAATCTACAACTGTTCATGACAAGCTAAACCATTTAACACTGTACAATTACAGAACTACACAAACAGACTTGGACTGTACAATTGATTTTTTTTAAGAATTGTGCTTGGCTTTCTTTTAATTTCAGTTCCTTGTTCATTTTCTAGAAACCTGAAACCAGAATTCAGTTATATCTGAGGTCTGTTACTTGGCGGCGTGACCGAATGGGCACTGGTTCTTTGAATACTAGGATGTGCAGTTTAGAGTATGCTGCTTTTTGTTTTGTCTTTCAGAATAGCTACTATCTTAAAGCAGCAATATCTCCATCGTCCATAAAGAAAAGAAAGGGAAAGTTGTGGACTTTCACAAATATGGTAACTGTCCAAAATACAATCGTCCTTTTTTGGTGTCTGCTAATTTGTTTTCATCAGTCTTTGTATCTCCATTGTTGGAACATCTGTGTGCTGTGTGTGCGACCTCTATTGAAAGAAAAATTTCCATCTGAAGTGCTATTGTGTTGGCAACCACATGGAATCATCAATCACATAGTTTCTTCACCTTGTCGATTGCTATTGAGAGCTATTTATTCTAGTTCTCTTTTTTATTAAAGGATGTGTAGAGCTCTTATGCCTGGGGATGAAGAAAGCATGAGTGATGAACAAATATGGGAGACCCTTCCTGTAAGTACTATGATGTTTCTTTCTTTGTCTATTATTCGTCATGCAAAGACAAGCTCCTGCTTCTTGACTGTTGAAAATTTGGTAATGTTAACTATGATGTTTCTTTATTTGTCTATTATTGGTCATGTAAAGACAAGCTCCTGCTTATTGACTGTTGAAATTTCGTAATGTTTACTCCAGACAAGCTTTGCTAGTTTTGGAAGAGAATAGACCACACTAATATATTGAGCCAAACATACAAAAAAACACGAGATCCATGCAAATCTAGTATTTCAGTAAGAAGTAGTTATGATTTAAGGTTTGGTGAATGAATAACCCAAGGTGGATGGTAGAACAAGTAGTATGTCATTAACACATGCTTTATCTTTCCAAAGGGTATCTGATTCTTAATCTTCCCAGTACAGGGGAACTTTATTTCTCGCTGTTGGACTTTGACAAGTTATTCTGCTTACATTTTGTTTTTAGCATGTCCAAAAATGTTGATGTCGTATCTATGATGTTTGCTTTTTAGCACTTCTGGGTTGCAATATCCATGGTCTTCTTCATTGCGGCAACAGCATTCACTCTTCTGAAGTTATGTGGTAAGTTTAGTTGAGTCCTGTATAACCATACCACATAGCTAATGTGCTTTGTACATTGCATAATATTACCTGGTTTTCTTCAGAGTTCAGACCTATGCGACAAACAAAGAATTCATTTTTCATGGGTTACTTACAAAATGTTGGTGTTCTCTCATTTACGAATACTGGCCATGCTGTTATCTTAAAAGAATAAATAAATGTCTGGAAAAGAGAGTGAATAAGTGATAGTCTCAAGAGTTTGTGAAACCTAAGGGCTAAGGGGTCAACTTGGTGGTAGAGAATTGAAAGTATCCAATCACCCTAGATTCAGTCTTTGGGGGCCAACATCACCTATATATGGGGGAAAATAGAACACTTACACATAGTAATTGCCTGCGTCACAATGTATAATTGGCAGCAGCTTGATATTTCTGTGGTAAGATTACTGGCTTCTTAGCATGAGTGTGGCTCCGTTTCATATGAATATTAGCCAACCATTGTCAACAGATTGAAAGTGAACTAGTTGTTGCTTATTCTTGTTGCCAAAAGTATGGGCTGGATGACTTGCAATATCATATGTAGGCCGTATCACATAATGCAAATTATTGGTGTTTCATCAAATTGTGCAGGGGAAAGTGCACTAGTTGGTGATTATTCTGGTCTCTAAAAGTATAAGTATGATAGTTTGCAAATCTTACATGAAGGACCAACATTTGTGCAGCTTCTCATGTATAGGGTGGTCTGATTGCATTAGCCAAATGACCGTATAGGTAGCTTTGGTGTGGCTTGTAGCTTAGACCACACTTCACAATCCAACATGTTTGTCACTGCGTCAGAAGCTGTTTGTTCTTGCCTTAATGACCGTATAGGGTAGCGTTGGTGTTGATTGTAGCTTACACCACACTTCACAATCCGACATGTTTGCCACTACATGAGAAACTGTTTGTTCTAATGGTGATCTGTTCTTGCCTTAATTGTATGCAGGTGATGTGGCTGCTCTTGGTTGGTGGGATTTGTTTATAAATTATGGGTATGATATTATCCATTTCATTCTGTTTCATTCTGATTTAAAATAAAACTTCATTGGACGTTTATATTTAAAGACTATTGGTTCTACCTGTGCAGGATTGCAGAGTGCTTTGCTTTTCTGGTCTGTACAAAGTGGTATAATCCAGCGATTCATGATCATTCTTACGTTGGAGGATCTAGCTCGTCTTCAATGGCTATTGGGTACCTAGACTGGAATAGGAGCTCAATGTTTTCTTCAGATGAAGATACAAGTACTAGAATATGCAACCTGCAAGATATTGGTGGACATTTTATGAAAATTCCTTTTCTTACCTTCCAGATCATGCTCTTTATGCGGTTGGAGGTATGTTAAGCATACAACTGTCCCTTGTCTGCATAATAGAACTATATCTTACTTTTGCTCATCCAATGATTTCCCCCTCAAATCCAGGGAACACCAGCTGGTGCCAGAAATATACCAGTTCCTTGTCTATTTGCTCCCCTTTTCGTGCTACAAGGAGCTGGGGTGCTTTTTGCTGCTTATAGATTGGTTGAGAAAATGGTGATTTTACTAAGCAGTGGAGCTTTTCCTGGTACCTCCTTTACCCTCCTGTCAAAGGCTCGGGAATTTCTTGGGTTCTTGCGACGTGGATCTAGGTACTAAGTTTTATTGGGAGCAAATGCAGGTGTGGTTTTAGGTCCTGCAAATTGTCCAAGCAGCATTGATAACTCAGATTTCATTTTATCTTCACAGGTTACTTGGTTGGTGGTCAATTGATGAAGGAAGCAGAGAGGAGCAGGCTAGACTGTACCATGATAGCAGTTCTAGGTGTGTTTTTAGAACGAGTTGCATGGCTTACATGGAGCCTTCATTAAAGAATTGCATAAGAAAGATTTATTTTTTTTGGCTAATCTGAGTCATTCTAAGATGAATGAGGTGGGATATGTGTTGGTGATAAAATAAGCCCTTTGCTGACATGGAAAACAAGACTGGGTGATGCTGCTGCCAACTGTAGTAGTATTGGGAACTTGTGAGCAACTGTTGATCTTATATGTGTGCAAAATCTTCTCTTTTCAGCTACAACACTTTCTCTCCAGACATCGTCAGGAAGATGCCCAAATCTGAACTTGTTGACGAAGTAAGTAAATGTAGTCTATCATCTCATGGTAATTTGGTTTTATTTGGTTCAGTTCGATCAAAGTATCTTTTTCTTCTCATATCAGATATGGAAACTACAAGCTGCACTTAGCGAGCAAACAGACATAACAAAGTATAGCCAGCAGGAATTCGAGAGACTGCAGAATGTAACATATGCAACCATCAACACTTTTGTTTGAGCTTTCCTTTCCCATATTTGTGCTAATTATTGATTTATTGCTATGCTTGTTCCAGGAAAAGATTCTGTGTAGAATTTGCTTTGAGGAACACATTAATGTGGTCATACTTCCTTGTAGGCATCATGCACTCTGCAGGTAATGTGGACTTCTCCCCATGCTTTGTTCATTTCCACTTCCTCGAAGTAGAAGAAAACATTTTTTTGCTTGCCAATAAGAAATCCACATCATTGACTGAATCAATCGCATCTGTTGAAACTGTATCGCGTCTTTTTTCTTCTTTCAGCACATGCTGCGAGAAGTGTAAGAAGTGTCCACTCTGTCGTGTGCCCATAGAAGAGCGCATGCCTGTATATGACGTGTAGTGCCTAACTGGAGGTCCGTCTGTTGTTCATATAGAGAGAGAAGACTTCCTTGCTGCCTTAGGGTTTTAGGTTAAGCATGCAATGAGGAGCTGGTAAATAATAATGTATTCCACAGTCTTTGTTCTCCTGATCGATCAATTTTTAGTCCAAGTTTCTTAGTTGAAACCCTCGATCGAAGCCTAGAAATTGTACATAGAAGTGTTGTAGCCAAGTCAGAAATGTAGCCTTCTTGTTCAGCAGTAGCTCTTTTTTTTTTTTTTTTTTTTTTTTTGTTCTTGTTTGTCACCTTTGGTTTTGGCGGGAATTGACAGCAAGTTCGAGCAATGTATAGATGTGAGAACAAGCAGCATATGTACGAGAATTGTAATATATATCTGAATCCCGATTACATGAAGCATCTTTCAGAAATTTTGTTGCTGCTTCATCTGCTCTTATTATCACTGAAGCTCTTTTCCCCTGTATTTATTACTCAACATTCCCATACTGGATCTTTATTTCTGAACTGAAGATTCCTGAAGAAGCTGCATAGTCACAGGATGGCCAGGAACCGCGCCATGCATCTCATGATTTGTGTTGAAGGCCGAGCGCGAAGTCAGCGAACACTTGATCAACAGTCTGAAAGGTTTCATCTGGGTACAGGCTGCTGGCTTCTACATCATTGACACCATCGATCTCGAAGTTCGATTGGCAGCCCTTGATGAATATGTCGTGGGTGAATGATGCAACTATGCTCTCCGGAATCCGATTCTCTGCCATATTGAAACCAAACAAGAAACATAATCAACAGGCTTAAGGAAAGGAGGAAGAAGAAGCAGAAGAAGAAGAAGAAACAATGATATAATGTGAGTGAACAGATACCAGCAGCAAGAGCTAGCAGGTCGGCTTCTGTGACAGTAACGCGAGGAATAGTCCTGCCGAGCTTCCTCTCCCACAGAGAAGCCAGCTGGTTCATGTTGTAGTGGTTCACCGCCGGTCGGAAATGGACCGACTTGTTCAAGGCCCGAGCGTCGTCGACCGTCTTCATTGTGAACTTCCCGATGTCAGCTCCCGTCACAAAGTAAGCTGGTGGACATGTCTCATGCCATAGAGCTTTCATTATGGTCTGGAAATTGGCAAAAAAAAATCAACCAACTTGGAAGTTCATAACAGATGATTATACCTTTGGCGTTGCCGTCGGCGTAGATGGGGAGCTGGTGGAGGGGAGGAGGGAGGTCGGAAGGGTGCGTGTTGTCGTAGTAAGGCCATGAAGCGATGGAGTTGCAGCAGATGTAAGTGTATGGGATGCCGTTTTGTTCGATGGAGCGCCTCACTTGCCTCTTCTGCTGGTAGAAGGACAGCCCTGGCTCCACTGGGTTTGCTCTGTCTACGTCGTGACCAAACTCGGATGGCAAAAACCTCTGATATATATATGCACCATTTACAACCACATTTCTCATCATTCATATGTTATTTTTTTTTTTGGTTTTCTTATTTGGTGCCAAGTTAAAGTAGGGAACATTAAGCTTGGGCCTTGGGCCAAATATTAAACAGGCTTGTCAATGTTAAAGGGAGGCCCACTAGCCACTATTGGCACAATACCATTTGTGCACAAACCACAAACTTACAGGGAAAAAAAATATTTTTGTGCCAGCCAACAATATACGAAAAAAATAAATTTTGTGATTGACATATTGTGTGAATGGTACATTTTTGTACATTTAACAATTGAAATTATAAGTGCGCTCCATCTAATTACGTCAGTATGTGTTGGCACCAATATATGTATATCGACACAAAATTCGTATTGAACAAAAAACATACCGATGCCTATAAATAGATAACGAAGCAAACTCATTGAAAGTCATAACATTTTGGTCTGATATGGGCACCAAGAATTGTAACGTTTATCATAGGTAACAAAGTTTTGGTGAGCGGATGATGAGTGGATATACCTTAATGGTACCAACAGATTTGATAGCCTGGACAAGTGTAATCTGGTCAAGCAAATTCCCGCCACCTACGACTGATATCACGACCTCAATTTCTTTCTCTTTCAATACCTTCTCCAAGCTTTCCCTGTCCGATATCGAACCCTGCAAATCAATTCAAAGCAAGCTCTCATAAAAATAATACGAAAAAAAAAACGTCTGAAAAAACATTGTACGTTACATAAGTCAATCTAATTGTTTCATAGATGAAATACCTGTACGATGAAGGCACCTTTGTCCTCAAGAGACTTGAGTAGTTGGGCTTTTAAAGGGTCGCCGGCGGCGGAAGAGGTCGACCGTGTGAGAAGGTAGGTGGGTCGACCGGCGTCAAGGCTGGCCTCCGCCACATGCCGGCCGATGAGACCCGTCGCCCCGATGATCAAGACCCGGCTTTTGACGTTAGGAGTCGTCGGAGCCATATGAATCGGCCGGCGATGATATGTAACGTGAGAAAATAGTTAGTGACTGAGATGGATTTGAGTATTAATTATATAATAAAATGAAGCGAGGTTAGGTTTGGGTTGGGGTTAAATATAATTAGCAAAGTTTTGTTGTTCTCTCTGTCATTATATATAACTATCACCAAACCAAATCAAGCAACAAGTGACAATTGTCGAGATGAGTTAGCTGGTGAAGGATGATCAGTTACAAGATCTTCCTCCTCCTTTCAACATTTAAGATAGATATTTTCCTTTTATTCTTGTTTTCCTTTTTAGTCAGTTTGGTTCTTAGTCTGTCTTAATTAACACATCAACATCTACACACCTATAAAGACGTTCTTGGTGAGAAGGGGGTTGAATTACAAAAAGGAGGCATCTTCGCGTTTTAAGAAATGCTATTTTTGTCATTCTACTCCACATATGTTTTGCCCATAGAGATTAAAGTACTAAGTACCTATGATGATTTCCTGAACTTGGGCTTCTGTTTTTAGATTGGGCTTGGTTTGGCATTTTATATTTTGATATTCACGATTTAAAAAAGTTAATGGTCTTCACACAAAATGAATGTAGAAGCTTCTAAAACCGTGGCCTCAAGCCAACTCTTTAAACAAAAACTTAATGATAAAACTCATTTTTGTAGAAAACTCCAATTTCATTATTGCGTAGGCTAAGAAGATGGTGGTATTCTATGATAAAGATAGTGAATTCAGTGATGAAGAAAATGATAATGTTTAGCAACGACAAAGCTAAGGTTTAAGTGTCGTTAAAGAGAGAATAGTCCCCTGTTTTTTGTGCGAGATTATAATGTATGTATTCAAATATTAAGAAAACATTGAAAATATCATGATAAGCGCTATTAGTCCCATTCGCTATTTAAAATTTAGGTCCTACTACATGGATAGCTTAAGCATGTAGAGTGTGAACTTACGAAAAAAATCATAAATGACTAAAACTATGTTTTTATCAAATTTCATTCGGCCAATGGGCCGCCCACTAATCTAGGATTACACTATTGTGGGTAGGGGTGGAAATCGGTACGGTATCGGTATTCCAATACCAAATATCTAAATCCCGAATACCGAATTACACCATAAAATCAATCCCAATCCCTAAATATTTCGGTAACCCAATCGGTACTTCGGTATCCCAATCGGTATTACCGAATACGAAATTAATTACCTTTGCAATTAATAATTAAATATATAAATTAGATTTTATAGTTTAATTTAGGGCAAAGAGACTAAGCAAAGAGTCTTGAGTTTGCCTATAGCTAGGAAATGGACAAGGAGAAGGGAGCAGATGTGACAACTAAAGTTCTTGTCATTGGTAATCTTTAATTCGACGAATTGAAGGCTGAGAAATAACTAATAATGCTGTTTTCTTATTGATGTTATGAAATTAACAAAGGATTAGATGAGAGTGACATAAACTGAAAAGCAAAAGTTGAGTTGGATGGGAACTTGTGAGTTATGAAAGAGTGGGAATGACCAAAAGTCGTGTGTTATATTTCACTAAGTTTTAATTTTTGTTGTTTCTCCGTGTTTCGGTATATTTCAGTATATACCGATCACAATCCTGTAATTTCGAATACCAAATTGTACTCCTTTGCCTTCTTGCCCACCAGGGGGTTTGTTAATTCGTTTTGATGGGGCTACTTGCCGGGATATTGGTGGCAGCATCTGTTTTGTTGGGTTCGCGGCATCGGATACGATCATCCATGCTTACGGTAAGTACTATGACGGATTTTTTGATCCATTATTGCTGGAACTCTTGGCATTGCGAGATGCGATGGAGTGGTGTTTAATCCGGGGTATTACCTCTGTTTGTCTTTGTGGTGATTCCCAAATGGTGATCTGGCGAGTAACGGAGAATGAAGTTAAGCATAATCGTGGTAAGGCAATTTTTGAGGAAGTCCGGTTGCTGAAAGCGTCGTTCGCGTTTAATCATTTTGTTTTCTCTCCTCGTAGAACTAACACGACTGCCCATTGCGTTGTGAAAACGGCTCTTGCAACGGTAGATCAGCACTTGGCTGACTACCGCTATTTATTTTTCAGTTCTTTGTAATTTCTATCTATTACATATCTACCTAAGTAAAAAAAAAAAAAAAAAAAACACTACCTCGTTTCAAATCACAGAAAGAGCATTCCAGATTCTTGGCTACAAGTCCTCTGCCGATGGAAATAACTATGAAAAATCTTGATGAGAATTTTTATTGGAACATGCAACTACGCCCTTTGCAGTGCTGCAATTGAATGTAGGTTAATAATTTGTTTCTCAGCTTGCGGAATTGGTGTGGAATTTTATTCACTCCCAGTCAAGAAATAGGCGTAACAAATGGAGACCTGCATTTTCCTTTTTATTAGTTTTGGGTTTCACTTCGTAAAAGTGGGTCCAAGAACGTTTTAACATGACTCAACAACTTATGCTGAGTTGGATTGATCACGTGGCTTGAAAAATTACCCATTCATACCCACTGTGAAGTTTTGGGATGGAAAAAATTGACGATGAAACAAAAATTGGATTTAGATGGTTTAGTTTACAAAAAAATAAAAAAATTTAAGTGACCAACCTACAACCAAGCTAAAACTTAAAGGCATTGTGTGCAATTAACCCTGAAATTCAACGGCTTTACTATCTACTGGCCAATTTAGGTGTTTCTTTTACTAATCTCACTCCTTTATTAGTGACAACTTATCGTGTGGTACACAAACCAACAAAGCATATTGGACTTGATTGCCATCTTACACGCGAAGCCGGTTTGATTAAATTTTTGCTCTTTTCTTCATCTAATAAACTTGCAGATGTTTTCAATAGGATCCTATTGCCGTGTCTGGAGACTTGGTATCTAAGCTAGCTAGGCATATTGGACATTCATGCACTAGCTTGAGGGGGTGCTAGAGTATAGTGTAGTTTACAAATAGTATAGGTATTAAAATGTAATGTCTGTTTATATTCAGTATTGTTTGAACAGTAGGACAGTAGGATTAATATTTACTTATATGTACATGACAATTGTATTATAATCCTTACTCTTGGATTAATAAAATTGATAACATTTTTCTTATTTAACACACTTTTTGTCTAGTTCCGACTAGAAAGCTACATCCGTCAGAGTTTTGATTTCGACTTCTCACTTGCTTTGAATTAGAGCTGTAAAAATTGAACCCGACCCGACTAACCCACCAAACTCACCCGACCCACAACCTGTCCGTAATCCGATTTGACAAAAAGTCAACCACCCGAAGCCCGTCCGTAACCCAAAACTAATTGACCTGTAATCCGATCAATCCATAACTCGATGAACTCGTTATTCGATCCAACCCATAACCCGACTCATCTATAACCCGAATGATTCATAACCCAAATAACCCGTAGCCGAACCGAACCCAACTTGAATAACCCGAATAAATAACCCATTTGACCCGAATGCTTGTACAAAAATTCAATGTATACATTATTGTATTTTTAAATTTATCAAGAAAGAACTGATGTTCTCATAATAATTGAAAATTATTTTTAGAATTGATGGTATTAGTTGAGGTTTTTTCTTAAATATTTAATTTTTAAAATAATAATATGTGAAATATCTTTTCATTCATTTTTTATTTTAAGAAATTCAAACGATAAATTTTTGAAGATAATAGGAAGAGTTAGACACAAATTCGTATCTCCATCACCCATAACTATATTAAAAAAATCAACTCTTGAAAATCAATGAAATCCCCAAAATCAATGATCCCTATCAAGATATATAATTGGATAGTTTACCCTTTTTACTTCATTCTCAACTTTTTACTGATTTTATTTATTTTTAATAAATTAATAAATTGACGATTCAAACTAGATGATAATATCATATTTGAGCGAACCGTTGTTCGACCCATGAGTTTTAGGATGAGATGTTACCGTGAATATATAAAATTTTTTGAAGATATATAAGTGGATGATTCGGAATGATGTTCATAAGTCTTAGTGGAAATGAAAAGACACACATCTAGTCCATACTATATTTAATTAAGATGATTCATGTCGAGATGTATAAGCATATAGTCTACCTTTTTTTACTTCATTCTCACACTTTTACTGATTCAATTTTTTTATAAATTAATAAAATAAGTGAAATAACAATCTCTCACCATAAAAAAAAATTATAACCAACAACAAAGCTTTTATATACACTATTTTATTTATATTTAGTTTTTATACTAACATAATGGATATTTAATTTGTATGTGTAAAATATTATCATATTATCATTTTCTTAAATTTTGTATCATTACCTACAATTTATATTCATATATTGATAGTTTGTAAGACATTATTTCCTGTCAAGAAGTAAATGATCCAATGGGTTGACCCGAATAACCTATAATCCGACCTGACCGAACCCGAATTAACCTGCAATCCAATAAACCCATAATTTGATGCACCCGTAACCCGACTCGATCCGTAACCCAATTGATCAGCGACCTGATTGACTCGTAACCCAATTGACCTGCAACCAAATTAAACCCGATCCAAATTGAAACCGACCCGATTGAAATCGCAAACCGATTGAACCGAACCCGGTTAGAACCAATCCAAACCCGACCCAACCCGCCCAATTGACACCTCTTCTTTGAATCAGGTCTTGGTTTGTATGCTCCCAACTATGCACAATAGAGTAGGTTTTGAGGGATGGGAGTTGGGGTATTTTGAAGATGAAATTCGAGGGGCGAGGTATTTTTAGGCAGGAGAGAGGGACGGAGTTGGGGTGGAGAAGATGAGTTGTCAATTTCCAATTTTTATTTTCAATATTTTTTTTAACTAGACCACCAGTTAAGAAATTAAAGAAATAATAATCTGTTTGTTTTTCCTAATTTGCATAATAATTGTTTGATAAAAAGTGAAACAATTGCCCGGATGACGTGACATTTTTTTTTACTATCATGTCAGAACATTCATTTGACTCAACACTACATTTGTCAACTCACACACAACAAAGGGAAATGTTAAATGATATTTAACGATTGGTTATTATTC